CCCGCAGCAGCCAGCAGCAGCACCGAGAGCAGAGGGAGGCAGGCAGGAGCTGGAGGAAGATGAAGGGCAGGAGTTTTTGGATTCTGTCCCCGAAGGTGAACCCCTGGGATGCAGTGACCTGTGACTGCCTCAAAGTGGTGAGTGCAGTATATTTAACAGTAAAATTGTATTTAAATAACAGACAGAATGACAGTGCAGAGAAAAATATTTTCTTGATAAAAACAAATATTGTCAAGCTAAGGATTGTATTGATTTTGTCTTTATATAGTGTTCCAGATGCCCAGTGTTATGCAGAAGTATTGTAAAAGAACAGTAGTGTGTTCTTTAGTACCGCACACTGCGTTCTTTCCTACCGTGCTCTGTGTTCTTTAATACCGGGCTCTGCGTTCTTTACTACCGTGCTCTGTGTTCTTTAGTGCTGTGCTCTACATTCTTTACTACCGTGCTCTGTGTTCTTTACTACCGTGCTCTGCGTTCTTTACTACCAATCTGTGTGTCTTTTACTACAATGCTCTGTGTTCTTTGATACAGTGCTCGGCGTTCTTTAATACCATGCGCTACGTTCTTTACTACCAATCTGTGTGTCTTTTACTACAATGCTCTGTGTTCTTTGATACAGTGCTCAGCGTTCTTTAATACCGTGCGCTGCGTTCTTTAATACTTTGCGCTGCATGCTTTACTACCAAACTGTGCGTTCTTTACTACTGTGCTCTCCGTTCTTTACTACCATGCTCTGTTTTCATTTATATAATGCTCTACATTCTTTACTACCATGCTCTGTGTTCTTTAATATCATGCTCTATGTTTTTTACTACCAATCTTTTTGCCACCCCCCTGCAAAGTGCCACCCTAGGCCTTGTTTGCATTGCGGTGGATACGCCCTTAACTGAGGCGCACTAGGTATACTGCATCATTAGTCCCCGCTGGGTGTCCAAAAGTGCCCCAGGTCCTTTACAATCCTTTTAATGCCCCTCCTGTGAGGAAAAGCTCCAGGAAAAAA